TATTTTGCAGATTCAAATGATAGTTTTATCTGAAAAATATCCATGTGTTAAAGTAATACATTTAGAAGTGCAAGGAAACATCAAGGAAGCAGAAGCACATAAAATTTAAGTTTTTAAAATACTAACTCCTTTATGTCAGTCCCAAAGTTCTCTTTGAACAATTAAAAAATTCTGAATTTTAAAATAGAAGTATTTCAAGGATGTAAAACATGTAGTGTATTTACTTGTCCCAAAAGAAAAGGATAGAATTCTAATATACCTTAGCGTAGATTTTTTTCGCTCCATTGACATTGACATAGTGATGGCCCAAACCATGATAAGCAGAACAAATTTATTGCAAGAGAAGCCATTTCAATGCCTTGTTAACGTGCACTCCGACTTCGGCTCTTCTTGCATATGTATATTTCTCCAAAAAGTTTTGTAACTCTCCAAAAATAACTCCTTGGACATGGGAAAATGAAACATTTTTTTGCCTAAATGCTTAGAATTTTTGAATTTTTTAAATAAGATAAAGGGAAATATGAGGGGAAAAGGCAAAAAAGGAGAAAAAAGATATATANTATGTGTGTGTGTGTGTTAGACAAACATCTTCATTCATGCTGTAATATACTACTCGCAGTAAGAAGGGATGTGTACAAGAGAATAGTCCTAAGCACTTAATTGCTTCCCCAAAAAAAATAGATGATAAAAAGAGGGAGATGAACATGAAAAACATATGCTTAAAGAGAATTTAATAAGCATCACGATTGCCCTTCGTGCAGAAAATATGACAATAATGACCTGCAAAGTAAACGGAAATTAGCTTCTTGTTCTTGTTTCACATCTAATCAAACAATGCACATTAGAGTTTGATGAGAGGTGATGCATTTCCTCCCAATAATGAACTTTCGACCCTATTTCAACTTGCTTGGGATTGAAGCATAGTCATTATTGTTGGATGACCTTTGGCCCCACAAAAATTGACAGTTCTATGAACCTTTTGTTATGCAACATAAATAATATACATTCACGGGCAGTTTTTCTGGATTTTCTTCTTTTTGCTTTTCGCGTTATGCATCTAGTATTCGAAACTTAATTATTGGCCAGGCATATTTGGGGTCGTGCCATGTAAGACCCACTAAAGGGAGAAATGCTCTCTGCCATGAGTTTTTTCATTCTCAAAACTTGAACCATGAGACTTCTGGTAAAAGGCGGATGAATCATATTTATCCTGACTCACTCCTTGGTGGTAAGTGGTAACATCCACAGGCAGTTTTCCTGTAACTTTTTTTATTTTAATCCTTTTCTCCCCCTCTTTTCTTTGGATTATTGATGGAGCTCACTGTAAAGCCCCGTAAAATTTTACCTAAAATCTGAGATTTCGTGGTGCCGAGGTAGACTAATATATTTGAGGGTGTAGAAGCTCGCCACAGTATGGACTTTTTGGGTTGAACAGTACATTGGGGAGTTGAAGAAAAATTATTGCAGAACAGGGCATTTCTACGGTCCATTATGCGACCGCAGAACTACCCCGCGGACCGCAGATCCGCAGCGGAGTGAAGTAGAAAAATAGGCCAATTTTGAAGGTCGTTTTGCGGTCAACTATGCGACCGCATAATCGTTTTGCGAGCCGCATATTCGTCGCAGAACCGGCAAGAGAAAACTTCGGAAAGAGGTTCTGCGGTCCATTATGCGTTCGTATAACTGATCTGCGGACCACAGATCAGTCGCAGACCTGTCCAGGCCTGCCCAATTTTTGGGGCTATTCCTGCGGTCCCCTTTGCGGACTGCATAATCGTTTCGCGATGCGGTCGCAGACCCAACTTCGTAAAATTTAAGTTTTGGAAAATTTTACCCGATCCTATTTTTATAAAAACAACTTTGGGGTTATTTTGGTTGGTTTCAAAAGCTATTTTAGAGAGAGTAGGAGTGTTCTAGAGAAGGATCAAGAAGCTCCCACCATCCTACTAATCATCCCTTGCTCAAGCCTTGGAATTTAACAAGGAAAGCTCTCAAGGTCTCCTTCTAAGAGGTAAGGCTCTATTCCCCAACTCTCAACTTTGGAATTGGACTGAACATGGGTAATGAGAGACATGAATCTGGGGTTGAAAGTTAGTCAATGTGCATGCATGTGCTAAAAATAGTGGTATGGGAATTGTTGAACTGATTTGGGCGAAATATGGACTTGGGAATTAGTTGTGAGATGAAGGATTCCCATTCTAGGGCCTTGTGGTCTAAATTGCACACCTAGTGTTTGATAAAATACTCAAATAAGCTGAACCTACGAATATTTTTCTAATTGTGGTTCAAATTTGTCATGTCTCTAATAGATTGAAGTCGCTAGGATTTTCGGAGCGTTGTAGTAATTTAAGAAAAGCTCAAGCGAGGTATGTTGGCTAAACTCCTCTTGTAAAAATCGAATTCCATGATGTCCTCATAAGTTGCGATTATGATTGGCTCAATTTCTTATTTCCCATGTTCCGAGTCCTTCCTAATAAATTTGATTATTCTAAAATAAGTGTTGTGTTAAAATAGGTATGTACTCAAAATATGTTCCAAATGTTCCCATCATATCATGATTCCCTCCGAGAATGAAATCTAGTATGACCAATGTATTAAAGGTGTTGTGATTCAAAAATCACGTTTCAATTATAAGTTAGTATATGCCTAATTGTGGAAGAAACACTCAATGTGAGTAAGACTTGTATCGCTCATATATACACTTAAAGTTTTGATTTGAAATTCTCTTATTGTTGATAAACCGTGATGATGCTTGAAAGTTATAGAGGTGAGCATGAAATATGAAATACGGTCGACATGCCGAGAATGATATTATAATTGTGGCCACTAGTGCCAATGAAACGGAAAGATGTGTGAAAGATTATGAAATAAGTTGTAAATCCTTTAAATAATAAATGTTTTGGGAGTATCGTTTACTCACCGAAGAAGGGAAGGTCGAAATAACCTAACCCCAAAACTACACATGCCGGTGTAGGAGTGATTGAGGAGTAAATCCCCGTGTTGATGTAATAAGATTGTTTCCCCTTATATGTGATGAAAATGATGTGTTGAGATATTTCCATTAAAAGGGATGAGATGATTGCTAGCGGGATGTGATGTGATGTCGACCCACACGGCATTGTGGTGAGACGGCTTAGTCGATCGGGCTGAGACCGTACACCATGCCGCGAACATGGTGGTGTTGTGAGTGGATATCTCGGAGTGAGATGGCTTAGCCGATCGGGCTGAGATCGGACTCCGTACTAAAAGTACGGTGGTGTATCGGTACTAAAAATCTCCCAACTTAAAAATGTTGAATTCTACTTGAAACTTACCTTTCTCTTAACTTGACACTTTAATGTTGTTTGAGGCCCCTATTGATTCCATGTTTCTTTCTCATTTTACTGTCACTCTTTCTATTGAGAAGGTGTTTAGTCTTACATACCAGTACTATTCTATATGTACTAACGTCCTTTTTACCTGGGGCGCTGCATCTTTAATGGATGCAGGTGGTTCCACAGCAGGCGGCATTGATCAGTGATAGCAGTACACCCTCTCCTCAGCTGACTTGGTGAGCCCCACTTCTTATTGGAGTCTTGTATCTTTTGTTCTTTATGTATTGTGTTTTGAGGTATAGGCGGGGCCTTGTTGCCGGCACTATCATAATACTATTTTGTGTCCGTTAGAGGTTCCGTAGATATAGTGTGGGTTGTATAGTGGTGTTTGAAAAGTCAAACTAGAAATATTGTATTTGTATCACATATTTCCACTTCTAAATTATGAATGTGTAATGTAATATTTTGGAAAATCTTGAATGAAATTCTAACAGTAATGACATTTGGATTGTTCATGTAACCCTCTTATTGTCAAATTAACGGAATATATCTTTACTCTATTCATGGTTAAGGTCAGGTAGGAAACATCTAGCAGACTTGCTTGATCGGGTTATCTCGGTTGAGCACCGATCGCGCTCCCGAGGTTGGGGCGTGACACGGACAATCTGAATTCTGTACTGAAACTCGTCCAAGCATGAGTGAAAATTCTGTGGCTGTATCTTGTAGGACTTCTCGAGAGAACGATTATATCTTTGTCGAGGATCTCCTCAAGTTTGTGGACATAGAAAAGAAGAAGTTGCTACATTAGTTGTTTTTTTAATCTAATATGATTCACTAAAGTTAATGCCTTAGTCATACAGCCTGCCTCATAATGGAAATAGCAGGTTTGATGAAAATAATGTTTTTTTTTTCTATTTAGGTATTGATCGATAAAAAAGAGTTAACGTAAAAAAAATAAAAAAGTAGATACGTTGCTTTGTCCTTAAGTTTTACCATGGAGATCAATCTTTCGAAGAATTATTAGAATCACTTGTGGCCAGATGGCTATTGCTTATAGTACTACTAGTTTATATCTCAAAATCTTACTCCACTTCTACCCCTTATATAGTTGATAAGTTGAAGAAAGGAAATTTTCGGCTAAACATTTGAAATATATTAGATGTTATTTCTTGGAGAAGAAAAAATTGTAAAACTTATAACATTGTTTATGTAAAACAATTTTCAGCAAGCAAATTAAGCACATGTATGACTTTTGACTTAGAGTTAATTAAATTGACATTGAAAAAAAGAAAGAAAGGTTCCAACTTGTCCTTATACTATTCAAAAATGCTTAAATTTGACTTCCATTCCACTTTTGGTTCAGACATACTTGAAGCTTCGTCCTGGGGTCAAGAGTAAAAATACAGTAGGATAATATTACACCATCAAGTATAAAATACAGGAAGGTAATATTAGATCAAAAGTTTAACGGGTGCGAAGTTACTCGGTTTAAGAGAGTACAAGAGAGTTTTGATCATTTTTCTCATTAGGAATGTACTCATCCATACTTTAGAAAAAAGAATTAAACTATATACACAAATAATGTAATTTGTTTTTACAGTATTAAAGTATTTTAACCTAATATAATAGGTTAATTTTAAACCATAACCAATTACTCCACAAGTTAAATAAACTCCAAGTAGAATATGTACCATAGTCCGTAAAGTACAACTTCTAGTTCAGAATATGCTATGCACTTTGACATGAAAGAGGATTTATAGATCTATACTATAAAATGTGAATTATGGGCTTGAGTGTGTTGGGCTACATCCAGATCCTCTGACGAAACGGGTGAAGTAAAATCGTTTCCTTCTCAAAACGCAAGAACAAAAAGGATATCAAAATTCACAGGTCTAATCCTCTGAACCAAATCCCAAATCCGAACAAGTTGCTTTTCAATCTGCAGATTTTCCGATATATTGATCGCAATTCTCGTTAAACCTTTTCTTCGTAATCTCTTGCTTGCTTTTTTTTTTTTTGGCCTATTCCAATTTTGGTTATCTCTGTAAAACGATAACGAAGAAGAAGTAAACCAGAAGCCAATGGGAAGCCGGAAGTCTTCGTCCAAGAAAAAATCTTCCAAAAAGAAGAGGCCCAAAATTTCCTCTAAGGTCTCCTTTTTTCACTCTCCTTTTCTATGCACACACAGACACATTAATTCACATTCTCCTCTTTTGCTCAGTACTCATTATGTATAATGTTCTTCGTTTTACTTAATTTGCTTTTTTAGGGCTTATATTTTTCTGTTTACTGAATTAATTTAGTGTAATGTGATGCAATATTTGCTGGTGTCCTCTTATAATGATGCTAACTTTTAGGTCTTTTCATGAGTGTATTACGTCAAGGGATGGAAAAACTTTTTTTTTTTTGGGGGTAAACTGGAAATAAAAAACTTCTGCTTTTGCTAAAAATAGATATAAAACTGTTTTCCAATGAATAAGGATCAAAAAGCAATTAATAGGCTGTTTTGTTTTTGGGTACAGTAGCTATATGTATTAACATGACTAAATTGGGAGAATAAGTGCTATATGGATTATGTTGATGCAAATATGTTACATATGTTAAACTACATTTATAAACAAATCTTTAGTTTAGTGAGGATTCACGTGATATAGTTCATGCGGGAGTGTAAAGTCACATTGCATAGTCATTCTGAATTGCCATAGTTTGTTGACTAGTGGAATAAATCTAGAGAACTAGCTTGTCTAATCCGATTAGTACTCTTCATTAGAAAAATATTTACCTGCAATTTTTAATACTCATATCTAAGAAGGCGTCATAGTAACCATGGTAAAACAGATATCTAAGTAACCATGGTAAAACAGATATCTAAGCTCTTGTTTAAATATCTTTCTTGGTGTTTCAATTTGTAATTCCTTTAACTGACACAGGAAAGAAAGAATTATGAAAGACTTACTAGCAAGCAAACGTTGTCACCTCTTTATTGAAAAAAATTTAATAACTAAAATATCCATAGTTACTTTAATGAGAAATTGCAATTATCTCTTTAATTATAATAGGCATGCTTCTCTAGGACAATGTTAAGCTAATTAATATGTGCTGTTTTCATATCAATACTTTCTCGTCTTGTCGCTGGCATCCCCAATTTATTATCCTTTATTATACATCTTCATGTGTTGTGTGGTTAGATACGGAAGAGAAAAAGCAGAAGAAACAAATCCAAGAAGTTTTCCAGTTCTGAGGATGACACGTCATTTTCTGCTTCCTCCGATTATTCTAGCAGTCCACAGTCTTTGTCCTCCAGTTCAGAGGGTGATTATAGTAGGAAAAGTCGTAGGCACTCACGTGATGTTAAACACGTGAAGAAAAGAACTCGGAGAAGATCCTCAAGCCGAGATGTCAATGAGGGTTCACCCCTTGTAAAGAAAAGAAAAAGGTCAAATAGAAAGAGTCTTGATTATGGGAGGAAAGTGCAGAAGAAGAAGCGACGGAGACATACTAGTATTAGCTCCAAAAGCAGTGATTCGAGAAGTTGTTCTAGTTGTCGATGTGAAACTAGTATTAGCTCCAGAGGTAGTGATTGTACTAGTGGTAGTGAGGATATTGATTTGAAGAGTCCCAGGATTAAGTCAAGAAAAGGGATGAAAGAAAAGAGAATTTGTAATGAGCCAAGCATTGAAAAGAGGAGTGGAAGTAGGGGGCCAACTTGTTCTTCATGTAATCATCAATCATGTTCTTGTAATACTACTCACAGTGGGAAGGGATATGTGGAAGAGAATAATCCTAAGCGCTTAAGATCTGTTATTACTGTTCCAGAAAAGACACACGAGAAAGAGGGAGACGAACAGGGAACAGATATGCTTAAGGAAGATATTTTGAATAAGCATCATGATTTCCCTTCCTGCAGAAACCATGACAATAATGACCTGGAAAGTAAAAGGAAATTAGCTTCTTGTTTCTCGTCTAATCAAACAATGCAGGTTGAAAATTTGATAATAGCTGATGCAGTTCCTCCCAATAGTGAAACTATTGGCCCCACAAAAGTTGGTGGTGGTATAGATACTCATCCAAATAAAGTCAAGGAAGTAAGTCACAATAATGGAGGTGAGAGTGTGGTTTCTGATAGTAATGCTAATTCATGTTTCGAGGATCTTGAGACTCTCTTAAGGAAAAAAGCATTGGAGAACTTGCAGAAGTTTCGTAAAGAGCTTCAAACAAATTTGAAATCTGGTGCCAAGGAAAAGAAGAATGACAGTGATGTTAATCAGTTATCCCCTTCAAGGACTGAGGTTGCACCGTACAAGTCCCTGGAGCAGGAAAATAAAGAGGGATTGGCTTTAAATCAAGTTATAGGATGTAGAAGCAAGCTTGTAACTAATAAGGAGTTTCCTCATTCCACTAAGATTGAGATAAGTACTCCAGTCGAAAAGAACAACAGAAAAGGAACTGGATACATTAAGGAGAGTATTACGCAACCTTCTGATAAATCAGCGCTCTCACAGAGTCTAGAAAAGGAGGACCATACCACTGCGCCACTTCATATCGATGAACCGGAACCTGGTAAACCATCATGTAGTACCACAGTACAGACATATAAAAAGGAAGATCCATTGGCTTCCAAGAGAAACATAAATAAAACACCAGATCCTTTGAGACCTGGAGTTCTTAGCACTGTGACCAGCGATAACTTAGGCATGGGAGCTGTTAATGCCAGTATCTGTCCTAATGTAGAAACTTCTAGTGTCAAATCCACATCTGAAGGACTTACTTCAAAACACCAGCCAGATGGAACCAAGGATGGTTCTCAGTTCGAACAAAAGACCATGTCTGTAATGAGGGGTGGTGAAATGGTACAGGTATTATAATCGTTTTCCATTATTTGTGCATGTCAGGCGGGGATTTTCCAACTTCGGGTTGATAAATAATCCTACAAGTAAATAAATCTCGCCCTGTTTGGTTTAGATTCTTTAAATTGTTTCTGATTATTTAAATGATTAAGTATGAGAGAATTGATAGAAATTATTAGTTTAATAGGTAGTAATTAGCTCTGACTATAGAGTTCTTTTAGCAATAGTGGGGAGCAAACTGATTAAACCAAAAAACTGATTTAGTTTAATAGTTATAGTAATTAGCTCTGACTATAGTGTTCTTTTAGCAATAGCCAAACACTGATAGTGGGGAGCAAACTGATTTAACCAGGTAAAATAATCCTAAGCAAACAGGCTTTGTATTTGGTTAATCTTTCAAGAAACAGCTTTGTTCTCTCTCCCAGACTTAATATTTTTAATACATAATGATTGATCCTTTCTTGTGGGCAGTCCCTGTTGGAAATTCATTACTAGAGATAAAACTTGCATATGTTTTCATATTTCTCTAACCTCTGCCAAGCATATCTGATAATATACGTGCTTTGTTGTATTCGGGTTTTTGGTCAACTCTTTTGCACCCCGGTGGCACACCCTTGGCTAATTTCTGATTAACTTACTTTACATTCTTTTAATTAAAGGGAAGAAACAAATATGCATGCAAAGTCTCCATTTTTTGGGACTTTTGATTTTTTTTCCTTACTAGTAGAGTTTCTATGAGAGTCGCTTGAAGCACGTCTTTATCTCATAAAAACGCAGCTCTCAAGTGTAGATGGACTGATGAGGGGAAGTTTAATAGTTAATGTCTTTACATAGCTTGAGTATTGTTACCATCCAAATACCTGTGAGACATTTCTAACATGTTTCAATTCTAATTTGTTTGATCTCATCTTCACATGGTGTATGACTGTGTGTTGGCCAGGTAAACTACAAGGTTTACATCCCTAAGAGGGCTCCTGCTCTAGCCAGGAGACAACTCAAGCGGTGATGTGAGGAGGTACAATTTTCGTGCCATTTGGGTCCTTTTTTTTATTCTTAATCAAATTGGCTTGCTGCAATGTACTGAGTCAGGACTTAGGTGCTAGTTAGCTGAATTTTGAAGTTCCTGAGATGACTACACTGCGAATGCTTGTGTATCAAAGATTATTGAAAACAGAAAAAAACTGACGGACAACGATATCTTTAGTCAAGTGTGTCTTGAACAGAAAAAAGAATAAAATTTACGCATCACATTGAAGCTCTCTTACTTCCTGTTGCGTTATTTTTTTCAATGAAGTTAATCCCTTTCCACAATTATTGTAAACGGATTTCAGAGAGGTTATTTTCCCATCGGCCGCAGTCTACTAAATGTGTATTGAATTGTATTATTTAGCAGATCCAGTCCAAACTTTGGTTGACTCAAGGTTCCAGCGACACACTGGTGAAAGATTGACTGGTATATTTGATTGACTGAAACATCTCAACTCTCAAGTATTGTATTATTTTGATAGGGAGTAGAAGTGAGTTTTTGTGACTCATTTTGTCTAACAAACTGCTTTGTTTTTACAATTCGAGAAACTGCTAATACATGTATTATTATCATGAAAAATAATTATTTTTTGGTTTGTTTTAAATTGCTCTTCTTCTTATTGGTATTTTGGGTTTCCTTTCATGCGTCGTTGGCAAGCATAGGCATGAGATCAAGCAGCCAATAGTCTTACGTTTTTCCTTTCTGAAGGAGTAGTAGACTTGCTCAATAGCTAGCTTTTATCATTCTTATGTGAGGCAGTAGGTGACACACTAAAGTTAATAAATGTCGTTAATCAATGTTGTTAGCTTATTCTCAGCTAATTAAAATCGTAACAGTTATAGTCGCGAAATGGAAATATTCACCTTTGTTTGAAAAGAAAAATGATTATTGGTCCTTCCTTTTCAAAAACCTCCGGGATTGTACCATTTGTAGATGAAGCTTTGATAGCAGCAAAGTTATGAGCATTACATTTCATAACTTAAATATGAGAATGTCACATGTATTCTAACGTCTAAACATTATCCTTTACAAAAAGCAATGTATACAGATTAAATAGCCGACTAACTTGGGAACTTGAGGTAGTCCCTCTTCACGCAACCTTCAGCAAGTACGAATTCTCTGGTGGTTAGCGAAGCAGGTGTTTTTATACTTTTAACAAGGGTTTCCAAGCCTTGTCCAGATAAACAAAGATGAATAATACATTTAACTGGCCATGCATTGCTTTCAAAAAGTTAATGACATGCAACGTTCAGTCAGTCCCTCAATACATCAGAAATTCACAAAGTTCCTCAACGTTACAAAAATCAACCTTTGTTTTCTCTTCTACTGCTGCACGGTCATTTTTTTAAGCCACTTATGCAAGCCCAGTCATCCATCTTTGAAACTGTAATGTTCTCCAGGTACGGTGAATACCTTTCTAGGATACGAGGAATCTACAGAAGATTATTATCACTCAGAAAAACCACTAATGCAAATATTGCACTTGGTAAATCTAATTCTTTTCTATTTTCAAGGCAACAGTAGTTCAACATAGAAATCATGAGTTCATGCATTTCTCTTTTTCATTTTTGGTGCAAAGAACCGTTGGTAGGTGATGCAGAGTAACTACTAGACACTGTAAGATTTACAGGGGTATTGTACTTGTAAATTTTAGATACCAGCCCTGTTTGGGTGCTGATGAATAAAAATGTTTGTACAAAAATAAAAAATATAAGTAAAATCAAAATAAAAAAACCCAAGTCTTTAGTAAATCTAAATCTTTTGTCTTGTTTCACAAGAATAAAATACCAGAGAATATCTACATGCATAGGTGTACTCTCATTTTTATGAACAGGAAACGTAATTCTATCACGTACTCGTAGATTAGTTTTGTTAAGCATTTAACTATTTGTAATTTCATCCCCACGGAAAAAAAAAACCAAGGGATGAGTGGAATAAATGGGAGGAAATTATTGAGAATCATTAAAGGCCTGTTTGGAAAGCCATCCTGTAATTGGATTTAGGTGTAACTGGATGTAATTATACAGTTTTTGCATGTTTGTCTGACCAAGTAATTACATGATCAACATGTAATTGAGGGGGTGTAATTACACTCTACAATTCTCAGGGAAGAGCTGAGAATTGTTGGTAATTACATGGTGTAATTACCAAGTTATTTTTTGAATCTCTTTTATTTTCTTTTTATTTCTATTCTTTTTTTCTTTTTCTTTTTCTTTTTTAACTTTTAAAATTCTTTTTTTTCAAATATTATTTTTTTACATTATTTAATTTTTATTTCCTTATTTCTTATTTCTCATTTCCCAACTTTTACTTCACGTGTTTCTACAAAATTTCTCATATTTTGTTTCTTTCTTTTATTTTTCTATAATTTGTTTTATTCTATTTAGCTATGTTATTATTACAACAACAACTTTTAATTTTTGATAATTGACATATTTTTTTTAAAAATATCTATCTTAAATGTCAAATTTAATTTTATTTACAAAGGCATATATTTGTTAAATCTTAACTTTTAATTTTTAATAATTGACTTTATATTTTTACTTTAATCTAACTGTGTCATTACACTTGTGCAACCAAACAATACACTTATAATTACACTGTAATTATATTATAACAAACAAACAGGTCGTCGTAATTACAATAATGTGTAATTACTACCCTAGTAATTACTCTAATTCCAATTACCCGGTAGCTTTCCAAACAAACCCTAAGCATACACGTAAAATTCAGGAACTAGATATGGGTATTAAATTACTGAGGATCATTAAACCAAGAATCATGCAATTGAAAATCGAGGAACAACAAATAGAAAAAAGAGTTATAGAACCTCTGACTAACAAAAAGATTGTATAGTAGGGTAGTGTTATATACATGCTTTTCTCTTATTGTTTGATATGAAAGAGAGTTGCAAACTTCAGACCCCCCAATAAGAAAGGGATATAGTATACGGCGTTAGTTACTATTTTTATGGAATAGATGGCGGTGTTACTTTTTATAGTATTGTCTCATTCTTTGTTGTTACCAGAAAATCAATTATCAAATGTTCCCTCAAGCCTTGCTCTGTACAGTTCGATTAGGTAAATGGTAGAGTAATTATAAGAATGGCCATACCTGCTCAGATATGATCCCTGAAAGAGCAACGGTTGAACCAGGCTTTGCATAGGACACAATCTGATCTGCTAACTCAAGCAGAGGATTCAATAGTATGTTTGCCACAACGACATCATATTTTCCCCTCTTATTTAAAACTTCTGCATCATAGGCAGTTTCACCAATGTCCATACTTGAATCAAAATCTGCAGAGGGAAGACTTCCTTTGCCAGGAACAAGACTTAAAAGCAACTTCTCATGTCCAATGTTGTTTATAGTAGCATTATATCGAGCAGATGTGATTGCCTGGGGATCTATATCAAAACCAACTGAAAAGGTTGCACCAAACTGCACATAAATATTTGACAATGGAAGTATTTAGCAACACCATGATACAAAGCTATTCCGAAGTTGATAGCATCTGGAAACCTTTTATCGAAGTCATGTACAGTGACATGAAAAAAAAAAGAAAAAAAACTATGCATGATGTATTTTCAGAAGGAAATCAGATTTAAGTTGTGGACGAAGTTGTTATAGACCATGAACTTAATGGAATCTCCTAGGAAGTAAGAATTTTGATTTTGATTCAGGTCAATTTATCAAGTTATACTTCACAGGATACTTTATTTAGAATTTTATTTTCAAAAAAATCAAGTTGTAGTTCAAAGTGCCAATGTTTGTGCTTCTCCAACTATTATATTGAATCAGCTAAAGGTGAACATCTTTTCTCTTCCAACTTAGATCCAATACAAGACCAAAACTTGCTCAATCAATCTTCTCAACTTCCACCCACTTGTGAAAAATGCAATTAAAAGGCTAAGGGAAGTAGTTCCCCAGAATTGAAAGAAAGAATCAAGCCCCTAAAATCCCAAAAATGATCCTGCAATAAAAGCAGGAAATAGGAGTTGAAAATCGTTCCTTATCTACTTTGTCACCTTTCCCAACCCCAAAGTCTAAATTCAATACATTGTCTTTTGCCACCAGCTATCACCACCCTTTCCATCACTCCATAATTCAAAGGATTTAGTTTGTACCCACATTTCCGCTATTCAAGTTTCAGAAGTTTTGAGGTTCATCGAGCTTTTTGTGTACAACTTTGTTCCATTAAGCATGTTATAACACTAGCATAATCAATTCTTTTGACAGACAGAGTAGCAAGGCCTGGATTCAGTGAATAAAGGATCAGTTTTAGGTGGAGCTCTGATTTATAAAGAATTAGTTCGTTAGCAGCTTCAACGGCAATATTTTGAAAGAAAACCAAGTACCTTAAGTGCTGCAATTGCTAGAACACCTGAACCAGTTCCATAGTCCAAGAAAAGTTCACCCCCTCTTATCAAATCACGCAGCAGGAGGAGACACAACTTAGTTGTTGGGTGCTCCCCAGTTCCAAATGCCAAGCCAGGATTTAGAATTATATTTGTAGCTTGAAGATCCTACAATTTAAGCACAAGCTCTTTATACATATACCTACAGATCATAAACATATATACACATATTTTAGACATGTATTAATTATTGCTTATGCAGGAAAGACGACAATGTGCAGACTCAGATTCATGACCGACAACCAAAAAATTAAGCAAGAAAGAAAAAAGAGAAGACCTCAGCATCACAAGAATATAATATTGGAAGTTCGATTGAGTATTAACATAATGCTTTGAACTGTGGGCCTGAGTGTAGAACCAGTTGTATCATGTGAATAGAACAAAGGGAGAGAGAGGTACAATCATACTGGAGGAGTTGTCCATTCAGGCACCACCCAGAGTCCATCAGAAACTTCCACGGGATGAAACGATTCCTGCAATTAGTTGATAATTTGAGAGATCTAAATTAACTCAGCTTGTTCACCAGTCACCAAGATGATAACTTGTGCAGCAAATATACACCATGACTTGGTAATAGAATGATGTCAAATGCTCTGTTAGCTTCCAAATGTGCAGTTGAAATTAAGAGGATACAGGAATCCACCCAGTATGGTAACATCAATTCATTGCATGCAAGCTTTCAATGGATTGGTAAAGAATCAACCCTTCCACTTCCCTTGTTATGAAGGTAACTCACTAAAACCCGCAAAAGTCAGGGAGATTTGCCAGGTTACTGAACAATTGGTTAAATGCCAAAGATAATCTAAAGGAACCTTTTAAGAGGAGAACCCTTATTAGATCATCTCCATTCTAACTTATGAGTCCATGCATGATGTTTGTATTTTCAAATGATATCAGAAATTTCATAAATAAGTAAACAAGAAACTTGGGCAATATTAGCCAAGGCATTCTCACTCAAAATGGTATAATTTTACTTTTTCAAGACTACTCATCGTCAGTTCATGCTTTTCAACAAGAAATAGACATGCTAAACAAGACAAACAATTTCCAGTTTCATGTTCATTTTTAATATCGTTGGTATAAACAGAAGATTTGGCAAGTAGCACATTTGACAATTTCCAAGTATTGACTATTGACTCAACTTGATCGCATGCCCATAAAGACCTCAAAGTTGGTAATTGATCAC